GGCCATGGGGGGAGGGGGAGGTAGGCAATGGGGCAGCCCCACAAGTGGTTACAAACCCTGTCTATGGGGCAGCCCCACATATGTGTGGAACCACACGTGTGGGGCAGGTCCTTGGCTATGGGGCAGCCCCGCAAGTGGTTACAAACCCTGTCTATGGGGCAGACCCACACATATATGGACCCCAAGTGTGGGGCAGGCCCCTGGCTATGGGGCAGCCCCACAAGTGGTTACAACCCCGCCGTCTATGGGGCAGCCCCATGTATGTATGGAACCACACGTGTGGGGCAGGTCCCCCTGGCTATGGGGCAGCCCCACAAGTGCTTACAAACTCTATCTATGGGGCAGACCCACACATGTATGGAACCACACGTGTGGGGCAGGTCCCCCTGGCTATAGGGCAGCCCCACAAGTGGCAGCGCACATGTTGGGGGGGGGCAGAGCCAAGATGGCAGCGCCCATAGGGGGCAGGAAGCCAAGATGGCGGCACCCATAGGGGAAGCCAAGATGGCAGCCCCATAGGGAAGCCAAAATGGCGGCCCCATAGGGAAGCCAAGATGGTGGCGCCCATAGGGGTCAGGAAGCCAAAATGGTCGCCCCATAGGGGAAGCCAAGATGGTGGAGCCCATAGGGGGTGGTGACCATGGGGGGAAGCCAAGATGGCGGCACCCATAGGGGGCAGGCAGCCAAGACGGCGGCCCCATAGGGAAGCCAAGATGGCGGCACCCATGGTGGGGGGGGCGGAGCCAAGATGGCGGCGCCCATAGGGGGCAGGAAGCCAAAATGGCGGCCCCATAGGGAAGCCAAGATGGCGGCACCCATGGTGAGGGGGCGGAGCCAAGATGGCGGCGCCCATAGGGGGCAGGAAGCCAAGATGGCGGCACCCATAGGGGGTAGGCAGCCAAGATGGCGGCACCCATAGGGGGCAGGAAGCCAAAATGGCAGCCCTATAGGGAAGCCAAGATGGCGGCACCCATGGTGGAGGGGGCGGAGCCAAGATGGCGGCGCCCACAGGGGGCGGCCATGTTGGGGGCGGTACCTTGATGGGGAAGAAGATGGGGAACCAGGAGAACATCCCCGGGGAGTGCGTCTCCGGGCGGATACCTGTGGGGTCATGTGACCATGGGAGGACACGCCCCCTCACACACTGGGATACTCGCACCCCATAGAGCCCCATAGACACCCCATAGACACCCCATAGAGCCCCACAGAGCCCCATAGACATCACATAGCACCCCATAGACACCACCCAGACACCCCATAGAGCCCTATAGACACACCCCAGAGCCCCATAGACACCCCAAAGTGCCCCATAGACACCCTATAACACCCCACAGACACCCCATAGCACCCCATAGACACCCCCCAGAGCCCAGTAACACCCCACAGACACCCCATAGCACCCCACAGCACCACATAGACACCCCATAGAGCCCCATAGACACCCCATAGAGCCCCACAGATACCCCATAGAGCCCCCCAGACACCCCATAGATACCCCACAGAGCCCCATACACACCCCATAGCCACCCCATAGACCCCCCATATCCCCCCATAGACACCCCCCAGACACCCTGTAGAGCCCCACAGCGCCTCATAGACACCCCATAGAGCCCCATAGACACTCCATAGAGCCCCGTAACACCCCCCAGAGCCCCATAGCACCCCATAGACCCCCCATAGACCCCCATAGACCCCCATAGAACCCCCATAGACCCCCCATAGACCCCCCATAGACCCCCACAGACCCCCATAGCCACCCCTATAGACCCCCACAGCCCCCATAGTGTGGACCCCCATAGCCCCCCATAGCCCCATATAGACCCCTATAGACTCCCATATCCCCCATAGCCCCCCATAGAGCCCTATAGCCCCCCATAGCCCCATATAGACCCCCATAGCCCCCCATAGACATGCCATAGACCCCCATAGACACCCTATAGCACCCCATAGCCCCCCATAGACCCCCATAGACCCCCATAGACCCCCATAGACCCCCATAGCCCCCATAGACCCCCATAGCCCCCCCATAGACCCCCATAGCACCCCATAGACCCCCATAGACACCCATAGACCCCCATAGACACCCATAGACACCCATAGACACCCCATAGACACCCATAGCCGCCCCATAGCCGCCCCATAGCCGCCCCATAGCCGCCCTACTGAGGGTGATGTCCCCATAGAGAGTGGTCTCGAAGTAACCAGCGAAGCCATGGAGCACGGAGTCCACCTGGACCCGGAAGCTCAGGAGGCGGTACCGGCTGTTGTCATTGGCTGCCTCTGCCGCAAGGAGCCACGCCATTGGTCGGCGCCCTCGCTGACGTCACCGGGGACGGGGGGGGGGGCAAGGGACCAATCGCTTACCGGGGTTGGGGTGTTGGAAGGTGAAGCAGGGTTGGGGGGCGGCCAATTGGTGGTAGTTGTGGAGGCGGACGACGTAGGGCATCTCGAATTGGGCCTATGGGGCAGGGACCCATAGATGGGGCTATAGGGCGACCCATAGATGGAGCCATAGATGGAGCCATAGGGGGACCCATAGATGGAGCCATAGATGGAGCCATAGATGGGGCCATAGGGGGACCCATAGATGGAGCCATAGGGGGACCCATAGATGGAGCCATAGGGGGACCCATAGATGGACCCATAGATGGAACCATAGGGGGACCCATAGATGGAGCCATAGGGGGACCCATAGATGGACCCATAGATGGAGCCATAGATGGACCCATAGGGCGACCCATAGGGGGACCCATAGATGGGCCCATAGATGGACCCATAGGGGGACCCATAGATGGAGCCATAGGGGGACCCATAGATGGGGCCATAGGGGGACCCATAGAGTGACCCATACATAGACCCATAGATAGACCCATAGATGGAGCCATAGGTGGACCCATAGAGTGACCCATACATAGACCCATAGATAGACCCATAGATGGAGCCATAGGGCGACCCATAGATGGGCCTATAGATGGGACCCATAGGGGGACCCATAGATGGAGCCATAGGGGGACCCATAGATGGAGCCATAGGGCGACCCATAGATGGACCCATAGATGGAGCCATAGGGGGACCCATAGATATAGCCATAGGGCGACCCATAGATGGAGCCATAGATGGGGCTATAGGGGGACCCATAGATGGACCCATAGATGGAGCCATAGAGCGACCCATAGATGGAGCCATAGGGCGACCCATAGATGGAGCCATAGGGGGACCCATAGATGGACCCATACATAGACCCATAGATAGACCCATAGATGGAGCCATAGGGCGACCCATAGATGGAGCCATAGGGGGACCCATAGATGGACCCATAGATGGACCCATAGAGTGACCCATACATAGACCCATAGATAGACCCATAGATGGAGCCATAGGGGGACCCATAGATGGGCCTATAGATGGAGCCATAGATGGAGCCATAGGGGGACCCATAGATGGGGCCATAGGGGGACCCATAGATGGAGCCATAGGGGGACCCATAGATGGGGCCATAGGGGGACCCATAGATGGAGCCATAGGGGGACCCATAGATGGAGCCATAGGGGGACCCATAGATGGAACCATAGATGGACCCATAGAGTGACCCATAGAGTGACCCATAGATGGAGCCATAGGGGGACCCATACATGGGCCCATGGATGGACCCATAGATGGGCCCATAGAGCAACCCATGGGGGACCCATAGAGGGACCCATAGATGGACCCATAAATGGACCCATAGATGGACCCATAGAGCAACACATAGCCCCCCCCCCAAGCCCCATAACCTGCCCCATTGCCCTCCATAGCTGCCCTATAGACCCCCCCATCCCCATAGCCACCCCATTGACCCCCATAGCTGCCCCATACCCAGCCCCATTGCCCCCCCCAAGGCCCATAACCTGCCCCATTGCCCTCCATAGCTGCCCTATAGACACCCCCAGCCCCATAGCTGCCCCATTGACCCCCACAGCTGCCCCATAGCCAGCCCCATAGCCGTCCCATAGCTGCCCCATACCCAGCCCCATAGCTGCCCCATACCCAGCCCCATAGCTGCCCCATAGCTGCCCCATTGCTGCCCATAGCTGCCCCATAGCCAGCCCCATAGCAGCCCCATAGCCAGCCCCATACCCACCCCATTGACCCCCATAGCCACCCCCATAGCTGCCCCATAGCCAGCCCCATAGCCGCCCCATAGCTGCCCCATAGCCAGCCCCATAACTGCCCCATAGCCAGACCCATAGCCAGCCCCATAGCCGCCCCATAGCTGCCCCATAGCCAGACCCATAGCCAGACCCATAGCTGCCCCATTGCCCTCCATAGGTGCCCTATAGACCCCCCCCCAGCCCCATAGCTGCCCCATACCCAGCCCCATACCCAGCCCCATAGCCGCCCCATTGACCCCCATAGCTGCCCCATACCCAGCCCCATAGCCACCCCATTGACCCCCATAGCCAGCCCCATAGCCGCCCCATAGCCACCCCATTGACCCCCATAGCTGCCCCATAGCCAGACCCATAGCCAGACCCATAGCTGCCCCATTGCCCTCCATAGGTGCCCATAGACCCCCCCCAGCCCCATTGAGCTTGAACACCCATTGAACCCAGCCCCATACCCAGCCCCATAGCCGCCCCATTGAGCCAGCCCCATAGCCAGCCCCATAGCCACCCCATTGACCCCCATAGCTGCCCCATAGCTGCCCCATAGCCACCCCATTGATGCCCATAGCTGCCCCATAGCCAGCCCCATAGCCGCCCCATAGCCAGCCCCATAGCCAGCCCCATAGCCAGCCCCATAGCCGCCCCATAGCCGCCCCATACCCAGCCCCATAGCCAGCCCCACAGCCGCCCCATAGGCGGTACCTCGGGGTCGCGGTCGCGCTCGCGGCAGCCCCGCACCTCGGTGTAGAGCTTGGAGGAGGAGATGGGCGCCAGGAAGGAGGTGTAGGAACAGGGGATGCTCACGCCCCCCGCTGTGGGGCACGGACCCACGGCGACACAGAGGCAACAGTTAGAAACCCATTGAACACCATTGAGCCCCATTGAACCCCATTGAACCCCATTGAACCCCATTGAACCCCATTGAGCCCCATTGAACCCCATTGAGCCCCATTGAACACCATTGAACTCCATTGAGCCCCATTGAACCCCATTGAACCCCATTGAGCCCCATTGAGCCCCATTGAACACCATTGAGCCCCATTGAACACCATTGAATCCCATTGAACCCCATTGAACCCCATTGAGCCCCATTGAGCCCCATTGAACCCCATTGAACTCCATTGAGCCCCATTGAAATCCATTGAGCCCCACTGAACTCCATTGAATCCCATTGAGCCCCATTGAACACCATTGAACCCCATTGAGCCCCATTGAGCCCCATTGAAATCCATTGAGCCCCATTGAACACCATTGAGCCCCATTGAAATCCATTGAGCCCCATTGAACCCCATTGAGCCCCATTGAAATCCATTGAACACCATTGAACCCCATTGAACCCCATTGAACCCCATTGAACCCCATTATAACCCCATTGAACCCCATTAAACCCCATTCTAACCC